TGCGTTTCTATTGTGTTGTTTTCTCCTTCATGCATTCATTCTTCGTTTCTCTCCTCTCAAACGATAGGGTTTCGTTCAAGTGCATGGCCTTTGACTCACTCGGTAGCCCATTGCTGAATACTTTAAAAATGCTATACAATGAAGGGTGCAGGATTCAACATACATTTGGAATCTACATAACATGCCAATGTTTAAAATGATTAAAATCAAGTGGTTTTACATTGGCTTTGTCGTAAAATAAAATGCATCGTCGCAGAAGGTCCATGATTATCATTGATGATTGATTCGTTATCATAAGCGGACCTACGAGCCAGATTCCATGTGTGGATTACTGTATGGGCTGGATGTCCGCCCTGAAAAGTTATCCTAAAACTTCGTTTTTCTTCGAGCCCGCTGACAAATCGCAGGTTAAAGGCGGGCGAGTCAATGTTTTCTCCCAGGCTGGTCATCCTTCACGCCATGAGGTGGCATATTCAGTAATGAATGGCGGGACTACTCTAGAAGTGGAATATGGGTTTGATTCTATGAAGTGACCACAATGGAAAAAGATCTTACTGTGGAGTGAAGTATTTACCTTTAGGCACGTAGTTTCAATCAGTACAGTGAGTAATTCAATTGAAAGGAAGGAAGACGGCGGCAGCATTCAAAGAAAAGGAAATAAGTATGAGAAAGACGGAGTTCGTGATGCGCTGAGCAACGAATTTTCGCCAATAACCATTTCATACTTCTCTGTAGGCTTTCACTCAGTCATGCTTTGAGTCAAGCTTCGTAAGAATAACTGGTTACCCAGCTTCCCGATTAACTCCTTCAATTCCACTTACATTGTAATGTCGATCGTTGACTAAAACGTGTGGCCGCACAGGTGGGTGCCCTATGCCATCGACGTGGCCACCATTGGAATCCGATAACTGGCGGGAAAACCCCACACTCGGCAACCACTGATCAATCGGCTACTGCCACGTGGGTAGCCCGTTACTGCCACGTGGGTGGCCCCTAACAAGCGTTTTCGATTGATTATTAGTCAATGAAGACACATCGCCCACTTCTCGTCGATTTTTACCCATTCTCTACCTTATAGCATTTTCATTATAATCCACTGTTTTTATTCTTCGATAGTGATCATTGGCATCAAAGAATCTTCTTTTCTCTCACAATTAATCGAGTCTTTACTTCTTACTTTATCGAGTCATGGTTCCTTCTATATGTCTTCCGTACTTTCATGATTTTTTTGCAGACAACGCCGAGATCGAGTTATTTCGGCCGGTTTTCACTTGGGGTTCACGGCACACCCTGCATGCGCAGGTAAATTTGTCTTGTTCATAAAACTCTAAAGATGGAGGTGGTCAAATGAATAGTATCTTAGCGGATTTTTTTTTCAAATATATTATTTACAGGTGTGCCCTCGGTTCGCGAGTGG